ATAAAATACAATAAAAACAATATAAAATACAATAAAAATAGACTAAAAACCAAACACATAAATAATATCTTCCAAGATGTTGATGGTCAGTAAGATGTTAACATACGGGAGCATCTTCAAGGTGCCGGCCACCCCCAGGGTTGGTTGCCCTTTTTTCACCCCATGCCGGTTGGCAGAGCCAGGTCTCGACTGCTTTCCGGAAAGAGAAGAGAGTTGGGGCCTGCCTCACCTCTGGGGGGAGGGTATTCTGTAGGGCAGGGGCTGCGGCAGAGAAGGCTCTCTTTCGGGACCCCAACAGTCAACTTTCTTTCATCGAGGGGGTCTGCAGCAGACCCTCCCTGCCTGACCGGGTGGGATCCTTTTCAGGACCCTCAACTCCTCCGTAAACCACAGGGAGCATCGGGCTCTATGGGTCAAGAGAGGTTGCACGGGCACAATCTCGTCCAAGGCCTCGGCCACCTTCCTATTCCAGGCTGTGGCCAGGGCCTCCGCTGGACCGTACAGTAGATCCTCGGGTATAACCCCCACCTCCTTCTAGAACCCCACTGGGTCCCTCAGTCGCCGGGGGCGGACCAATCGAATGGGTCCCGTCTACCTGTGGAAGTGGGGGGGCATAGGAGAATCTCAAGGCCAGCAGGGCGTGATCAGACCATGATGGGGGACAGATGAAACTCCCCCTTCGGATCACATGGCCGCTGCTTAGACAAGAAAACCAAGTCCGGGGTGAGGCCGGCTTTACCGGAACACCTCCCTGAGAATTAGATGCACCCCCTGGGGACGCTTATCTAGGGAAGCCCCAACTCACAGAGGGGTAAGACAAGGTTGCATATTAGCCCCTTGACGTTTCAATCTGTATTTAAATCCAGTCATTCAAGCGCTTGCTGCTTCAGCCCATCACCCACCCAGGACTGTATACCAGGGTGGGCGGGTGATGTATACCTGTATACCAGGGAAGGAGTCATTATGTCTCCCTCGCCAGCGGGAATGAGGAAAGCCCTCAGGGCACTAGCTTTATTTGGCACAGATCAAGAACTTTCAATACATTATCAGGAAACGAAGGTCTTAGTCTTTGCCCGACACTGTCACGAGAGACACACATGGCCAGTAAATGGGACCCCAGCGGAACAGGGGCGCACCTATAAATACAGATCTACAGACAACTCTAAGTAAGGGGCTACACCCCAGTATTTGTCATTGTCTAGCAAAAGGGCTTGTTCCAGCTTCTGATTTACCATCCACTACAATTTTGACATTTCGTAACGCTTCACCTTAGCCAGAGGGGACGGACGCGCTGCCCTCAGCCGTCCTTTCTGGACGTTTCCAGGGCGCCCCGTGCACCCTCGGCTCTGCCCACGGGGGGATGGCTATTATATGGTTTGTTTGTTTGTTTATTTATTATCAAACTTGTATGCCGCCGATCTCCCCCAACGGCGGCTCACAATAATAAAAAAGAAAAAACACAAGTCCCTCCAACCATGGAT